GAGTTTTCATTACATTTTCTATGAGGAAAAATACATAAGTTATAGGTAAAATTAAATCATAATCACAAAGAAATCCTAATTTTAAGCTGTATTTATTTGAAACAGTCCAAAAACTTATGTCAATTTTGTTGGTGGCAACATCATTGACTCTACACACTGATGCCTGTATGATATGTTTATCATTCTTTATTAAATTAAATGAAGCAGATCAGTGATAATCTGATTGCTGAACCAAAGCAGATCGGTACTAATCTTTGCAATTATTTATTAAAGATTTGTTAAGCAACAATCTTTCTATCAAAAAGCTTGTATTTTTTTATTTTTGTCTCTTAATCACTATCATTTTGCATATAGATATAACATGCATAACATGATTGATTTATGACTAAGTAGGATGCTGGATCCCTTGGTTTTTGGAGATTACCCTTCTGAACTGCGCCAATATCATGGGAGTGAGTTGCCAAGGTTCTCTGCAGAAGAAGTTGAATATGTAGAAGGCAGTGTTGAGTTCATTGGTATAAATCATTATTCAACATTACATGCTAAAGACTGCATCTATTCGGCCTGCACCTCAGGTGGAGATCATGCTATCAAAGGCCTTGAACAGACAACTGGAGAAAGAGATAGCATCCCAATTGGAGAACCGGTAACTATGATATAATTTTTGGCATAATTGTAATAAGAAATCACCTTTTCTTTCTGTTTTCTAGGTTTGAAATGTTATATTTTCTTATTTCTGGCAGACTGGCATAGAGAGGTTTTTTGTTGTTCCTAGAGGAATGGAGAAGATTGTTACTTATGTTAAGCAGAGATACAATAACATCCCTATGTATGTGACAGAGAATGGTAAATGGCACTTCTGCTACATCTTTCTTCCACAGAAGATCAATACCCTGCATCTAATGCTGCTTACAATGAAGTCAGATGGTTTATGTTATGTTATTTGGTTCTTCAAGTTGAAAAACTAGATATATAATCCCCAAAACACAGGATATTCTCCATGGTTAGAGCAGAGAGAGGGAAAGAATGATCTGCTTCAAGACGTCAAACGAATTGAGTTCCACAAAAGCTACCTTGCAGCATTGGCAGGAGCAATAAGGTGAGGGAATGGTTGTGCTTTTTGCTCCTTGAATAGAAACTTATAGATCCTAAATCTTTGATCACTCCATGGCTCAAAAATTATGATATAGCAATTCAACTTCACTCAAGTTGAATTTATTTTAATTAATAGGAAGGGTGCTAATGTGCGTGGATACTTCATATGGAGCTTGATGGATAACTTGAAGTGGACTGAAGGTTATGGCTTAACTTTTGGACTTTACCATGTCGATCGTCAGACAGTAAGGAGAACTCCAAATCTTTCTGCTAAATGGTATAAAGATTTCGTCACTAACAGTAGCGACCACAATTACATACAGGAATTTAATAGAGGTTCGCACCGATGCAAGAATAAAAGAGCAGAAATGTAGACATATTATGTGAAATATGCCTCGGTTCGCGAACACTTCCATCATCTTGGTGTTTATAACAGTTTCAGTGTTTCTTTTTCTCTTTGAAGAACTTAGAATGAATCCGGGGTTCCTTGTCTCAATCGCAAAATCCAAATCTAACTCATTCTCTTATCACATGAAGCACACGACCTGCACCTCTCAACTTCTCCTCAAGACTGTTAGCTGAGAATGTTTGGTGTCATTAATTATCCGAATTGAATCATTAGAATCCTATAACTGAGCTTGTCGAATCTTTATTTTTTTTAAGGCAAAACCCCCCAAACCTACCCCTAAGATAGGGGTAGTGGTAGGAGAGGGGTAGGAGAGATTCATTTTTTAAAAAAATATGAAGATAAATTATTTTTTGAGACAAATCACCTAGTTTTTAACATATAATATTAAAATTTTGTTTATTACGTATTTTTAACGGAAAGTTAACGTGACAAGTTAAAAAATAAGATATTCGTATTGATTTATAGTTTAAAAGACAATTTGTCTCTGCTTCCCTATTTGAGGGGTAATTTTGGGATTCTGCCTTTTTCTTATGTGAATAAGAAGACTCACTGATGGTATGTTGAGACATATGCTTTTATTGAGAGCTAAAGATAGAGAGAGCGAAGGAGAATCAGGAGATGCTAGAGATGGTGACCCTGGTGGGGGAATTGACAATGGCAGTGATGGGTTTGTGGGCAGTAGGTTTGCGGCCATTGATAATGAGGTTTGCCGGAGAGATGGTTGAGGTGATGGGTGAGGCCATTCACCGGATTCTCAGTGGCAGGCCTTCCTTTTCTCTCTCTACATACCTACCTTACTCAGGTTCGTTTCTTGACTGGCCTTAGTGAACTACTGTATGTAAGGTTTGTTTGTTTGTTTGTTTGTTTGTTTTTTTTTTTTTTGAGCTCAAGGAGAGACTACTGGCATACCTACTGCATCAAGCTAAAGTCTCTGGGGGGGCGATTTACTCTTGTATTTGGTGCTCTATTGCCAATAAGAGTAGGAGAGAAAGGATTGAGTAGAAGGTGGAAGCTGGAGGGAAGAAAGGAACAGGAGGGCCCTGTGCTGTATATTTTCATTTTTGTTCAAGAAATCAGATGGCGTTAATTTTATTAATTTTTTTTATCTTGATTATATATTAAGAGGTAGTTATTTTTTATTTTTTATCTTATTTTATTTGTATATAATATAATATAAATTTAAAATTTTTTATTTTTAATAAAAAATTATTATTAAATTATTTAAATAATTAACAATTTTACTGTAATTTAGCATGATGGTATGACGGATTCAACAAAGGAAAGCTCTGGGTAAGGGAGTAAAATTGTGAAGGAAAATGAGTAGAAGGTTCACCTTCCAATGTGAAAGATTTTTGATACTATTGTTATATAGGCTACCTAATATCTTTTTGGGCTTGTTTAGTGGGTAAATTGGCTATTAAGCTAAAATTCATTGAATCTTTAGTTATTTCTAAGAACGTGTACAATAGGAATTTAGTTTTTCTTCTCTTAAAAAATAAAATAGAAAAAGAATTTTAGCTTATTAGAATACTGTACTAAAGAATAATACTTTTTTTAAAAATTTTTAAATGTTGATTTGGGCGGCTCGGAAATTGCGCCGCCTTTACATGGAAAGGTTAAATTCCCGATTCAATCCCTCAACTTTTATTTTTGAACTAAATTTACCTTCAAACTTCAAAAAGTACTAAAAAAATCCTTGAACTTCAATTTTCGAGACCAATTTCATCCTTCCGTCGATGGAAGTGCCAGATGGCACGTTAAGTTGCCATGAAATCAATTCTTGTTTGAAATCTTTAATTACATGAAAAATAACTTAACTCATTATCATCTACATCATTTTAATTAATTTATATATTAAAAAAATTTAAAATTCCTTAAATACCCCATCTTCATCTTCCATCCCCTCTCGCCTCTCTCTATCCTCAGATGTCTCCTCATCTTGCAACCCAATTAGCATCGATCATCCCTCATTGCTCCAGTCATCCCTCATTGCTCCAGTCATTCCTCATTACTCTGATCATCCCTCATTGCTCCGATCATCTATTACCACTCCAATCACCATCTACTTCTTCCCCAAACCTCCTCTCTAATAGAACCCAAATCTGGTTCCTCGTACAATAATAATGACCAATAGATCTGATTCAAAAAATCAATTCCTCTGCAAATGTATACTAGATTTGTAAAGGAAAATGTAAAAAACAACATCCCTTCAATCAACACCTACAGTAACTAGATCTTGAAATTCAAGCAATCAAAAACCACACAAAACTCTAAATCCCATACTAAGATAGCCAAGCATGACTGCAACCAACAAAGAAACAAAAAAAAAACCCAAGCGGGTTCGACTCAAACCCAGGCCTTGGGTTCGGAACCCGCACTTGGGTTCCATTGAACCCAGCACGCCTGGGTTCCTCGAACCTAGGCCCTAGGTTCCATTGAACCCAGGTGTGCTGGGTTTGCCTAGTTCCTCGAACCTAGGCCTTGGATTCCTTTGAAGGAACCCAACACC